GTGATTTGGTAACTTTATACGATCTATCTTCTTTCACATATTTTCCTTTATTTATCTTTTAAGAGCGTTCAAAATTTTGCTTAATTTTTCCTCAAGTATCTCTTGGGTTTTTTCTATCCTTTCAAGATGACTTGCATTATCTTACTCCATTTTTTTGGCTCTAGCTCAAGTGTAGTACTGGTGTTGATCTATCATTGAAACTTGATTTCTCACAATTATGGTGCAAATTTAGAATGATGTTTATTGACCTATCAGATTATGCATGAGAATGAATGCAGTGATGCATGAATGTATGCTTACACAATAAAAAGGGTTAGTAAGCATAATATACAATCTGCATGTATGTTTATGAATATACATAAGAAGAAAAAAAATAAAAAAAAGATAAAAAAATCGATTAGTCACCTTAATAAAAAAAATAAAGAATAAATACGATACAGTAAGTAAAATAACAACATGACCCTAAATTTTAGGTTAACTATAAAAGGTGAAAGGACATGGCTCTATTTATGGTTAGGCTCTTAAAGTTAACTATATGTAGTTTGGATTACCTCTAAAAGGTTGCCAAATTTTTCCTTACATCATAGTCCATCATAGACTAATAAGGCACCTCGATCCTCACCCATCATAGACTATAAATGAAAAAAGTTTAATTTGAGTAAGAGTGTTTCACAGGCCCATACAGAGACAGAAAATCTCACGAGAGCATAGGTACTTCACTCCCTCTTAAGGGTAGAGCTCAAGTGGAGAGCTTTATGTTGTGTACATGCAAATGAATGACAAATATATACTAGTGAATAACTAATAGAACATAAACAATGAAAAGAAAGAAGTAAGAAAGAAAAAAAATCTAAAATTATTAAGCAAGGCTTGGATAATAAGAAATCATTTACTAGCCTGACTCTTGATGTCTCCAATGGAGTCGTCAAACCGTCATAATATATAGATCAATAGATCTACCACTAGACATGGGTTAGAGAAGTCGCCCAAAATCTTTTTTGTTTAGGTATGATTGATCACCTGATATAGATTTTGATTTACGAAACTAGAGTTTAAGTTTGAGAATATGGTTACGCATGAAGAAGGTTATAGCACCCTCACAGCGCTCATCCAAAGAGGGTACCAGTTAGATTTCAGATTATCCAAGCCTTGATCATATTTATAATTTGTCAGATAATTTAATATTGAAAATATATCTTAAAATTGACCCAATAGTTTAGTAACAATTTAAGATGATTCTCTAACCTCAAAAATTATTCATGGGGACAAGTGTCTTACTTTGAAGAGGTTCCATTGTTGGATTTATTAATGTATTTTTATTCAAAAAAATTAGTAAAGTCTCTCAATAGTTTGATAGAACTAACTTTGAAGTAGATCTTCAATAGTTTGATGAGACTTTATTATAAAAAGATTTGTAAAAAATTTTGTGAATTTCATTAAGTCTCACAATAGTTTGGTATGATTTAATTTGAAAAATAATCCTCCAATAGTTTAGAGGATAAAAATTATTTTTTTGATTTTTTTAAAAACTGATTTATGAAATTTTTCAATAGTTTGGTGGATTTCATAAAATTTAAATCCATGAAAATTCTCCAATAATTTGGTAAGATTCATGAATTTATTTGAAAAAAATTTTTATTATTATTTTTTAGTTGTTTTCCACAAAAAAATTTTGTAAAATATTTAATAAATAATAAATTACTCAACAAAAATAAATAAATAATAAAAATTAGTAAAATAAAATAAATGAAATAAAAAAGTAAGTAAAGAAAAAACTCAAAATATAAAATAAAAAAATGCCTACAAAACAAGTTGAATCTAAAAGCAAGTAAACACACCGATCAATCAAATCGCACGTGTGTCAAAATCTCTCCCAAAATAATGTCATATTATTTCAAGAATGGAGACAAACCCAACATTATTAAAGGACACACTTCAAGCCAGTACTAGTCTATGTTGGCAAAAATCAAGGCCTAGAAAACCAATCTATGGTCAACTACTTCAATCCCTTATCTTCCTTATCACTATATAACACCTTTGAAATGTTACTTGACAAAATGGTTTGGTATACATCAAGTGGACTTCTGTCACACAACTTCCCAAGTTAATTTTTTTTATGCATATTACTTCCACGTTTGTCCTATTTCCCCTAGAAATTTCAAGAACCTACATTGCTAATAGTAGACTACCGAATCCCCTACATGAATTGGTTGCTATTCTCCTTTCCCCAATCTAATCTAATTATAAAAAGTAAAACAATTATACTACTATTTACTTGCAACTGCGACCAACAAATCTAGGAACTCAATTCAAATTTTCAGTCTCCTTATTCTTCTCTTTTAACATTGCAAAGCTGAAGCCCCCTTAAACTCTAACCACCAACCAATCCACCGTTGCTTCCACCTTCGTGAGTCACAGATGGAATTTTTTTATTTTGGTGTAGATTTTTTTCTAGGTTTTTGTTTTCTGTGGGTTTAATGGGTAGCAACTTCTCGGTGGCTTCTTGTGTGTGGCTAGTGGACTTGGTGATTAAGGTTGGTAATGGGTTGATGTGTGGGAATTTTCAGGTTTGGTTGATGGGAGGTTGTAATGGTGGATTCGGTGCTGTGTGGGAGAATTAGACTCCCTTTCTGCTTTCGGTTGGTTTTTTTATAAGATTCAATCCTTTTTAATCTTAGCCAATAAATTGAATGTGAACTAATTACATAAATCAAGCACCAAAATTTTCTACAAAATTTTCAACATAATTGCATAAATCAAGCACCAAAATTTACTGCAAAATTTTTAAATTTTTTTTTTCAAATTTCCTTTTTTTTTTTTTTTAGACAAGTAAAATTAAACAAAAATAAATAAAACAGATTAAATTAAATTAAAATTAAAACTTTTCTTATTAGGCTTAAAGTTTTTCAATTGAGCTCAATTCATAATTAAAAAAGCCTATTTCTAATTTTTAAAAAAATTCTCAAACAAAATAAGACATTTATAATAATATAAAATAGCATATTATACCATAGTAAAAATAATAGTAATAATAATAGTAGTAGTAACAATAATGAAAGTCGATCCCGAACACAAATGGATGTCTATAAAAACCCTAAATATGAGTTTTCTCTAAGGCATCTAATTCTGTTTTCATAGTTGCTTGCCAAAAAGGATTAAAACTTGCTTCGTGATAAGATTTAGGTTTATAAACAGAAAGAATAGTAGATAAGAAACAATGAAAATCATGATAACGTTTTGAAGGAATTCACTCACGTATTGAACGTCTAAGTTCTGGGATAGATGGCTTTGACGAATTGGACAATGGTGGTGCATGATTGCATATGGTAGAGTCAGTGATGGGACAAGCTTAATTTGGATGAATGTACCGAGGAGTTGGAGAACTTTGGGATATATGAAAATATTGATTAAAGTCATTTAAATCAACAAAAGGATAAAAAAAGATAAAAAAAAAACTTAAGAGGATCGTTGGTAGATTTTTAAAAATGAGACAATAAATACATCGAAATATTTTTCCAAAAAGTAACATGCCAAGAAACACAAAGTTTTTGTGTAATAAGATCATAGCAGTGATATTCGTTTTGTCAATATCATACCCTGAAAACATACAAATGACAATTTTTTTGAGATAATTTATTACACAAAACATTAGGAAGTGAAACAAAACATGTAGAACTAAAAATACGAAACTCAGAATAATTAGGAGTATTATTATATAAGCGTTCAAAATGAGAAATTCCACCAATGATAAAAGAAAGAATACGATTAATAACATAAACTGAAAAAAATGCAGCTTCCCCCCAAAATTTCTTAAGAACCATTAAGTTTAGTTTGTTCGATCTAACTTCATTGCAATAGGCTATGATGATTCCAAGAGAGCCATGACAGAAGAACAATTCCAAGCCAATACACCGATCAACCTGTAACAAGCTAGTAAATTGCTCAATTCATAACAAGTGAAGCAGACAAGTCAATTACACATGTAAATAATCCAAAATCAATAAAGTATGTAGTCAACCCAAAACCAATGAATAAAAGTAGAAAAAGACAAAGATAATTTCAATTTCATCAAACCCAAGCTAAAACAAAGAGAAATAATAATAATCGAAAGCTCTGATACAATGATGACTTAAAAGAATGGAAAACAATATTATTTCTAAGGTTATAAAATATATAAATATATAAATGTTTAAATGGATTTAAAGTTTACAAAATATATCAAAAAATAAAGTCCAACCTTATAAGTCAACTAAACATAATATATATTTTAACATATATATCTTTTTTAGGCTTAGTTCTTAGAGGTTTAAATAAGCTCCATTTAAAACCAGTTTCAGTCACAGCTGGAATCCCAGCTGGAACGCCCATATCCAAGGTCCCGAGGCCCCAGTTGAGCCACCACATTCCACCATACTTTCGTGGGTTCTTAATCTTTCCCCGCGTAAAACATGGATATACGAATGTGACAGGCAGTTCTAGTTACGCCTCCTGTCAGAACAGATACACTTCCAGAGAATGGACCGACGACTGCCATGAAGGAAGAGAAAATTCCGAATATAGTCCGGAATATACCCGTTGATGACATGGCAGTTGGTGAGAGTAATTATATTAATGATCAATATCAAAGAAAAGAACATAAGATGAAGAACTTCGTAGAGAAGAAAAGCGAGGGTGTTTCTTTGGAACTGAGCGGTGTTTCAATAGAATTGTCTCTTTCAGGGGATTATATTTGGGAATCCAAAGAAAAGAGTCCTGCAACTGAAAAAGGGAGCCAGAAGAGTTTTGAAGCCAGTGAATGTAGCAATCAATATCAAAGGTAAGAATATAATCTGAGCAACCTCCTGAAGCCGAAGGTTGGAAGTCCTTCTTTGCAACTGAACATGGGTTTCGATGACGCTTGCTGTACCAAGAAGAGAGAAAGAATGGAGAATCCTAGCAGTACAAGAAAAGTTTCGTCCTGCAGAAACTAGAGAACTAAATTTGAGAGAGAAGAAAGTTGTATGGCCGTTGTGACTGAATTGAGGCCTGGCCATGATCCTTGGTGCATTAAAAAGCAGCTTTTTGAAAGTGACCTCGGCAACATGTCTAGGCTCTTGTTGGCATCGAAGGTCGTAGAATCTCATATTTTTCCCTTCTGGAATGCTGATCAACTTACGAAGGCTAAGGAAGGATTGCCAGTTTCTGTGTGGGATTGTGATACAAAGGCGGAACATGAGATGATTTTCAGGCAATGGAACAAGGGGACCAATGTGCTCATCAAGAATTGGATCATGGACTTTGTGACGAGGAGGGAACTGAAGCTTGGTGACGAAATTGGCTTTTACTGGGACGATTGCAGTTCAAGATTCAAATTTTCTGTTCTTAACCAAGCTGCAAGGCATTAACCTCTTCAAGTTTTTTTTTTTTTGGCAATGGTGATACAGTTTATTGATTTAATATAATCAACTCTGAGTTAAGTGTAGTTGAAACTTAGAAAGTATAGTAATGGACATCCTCATTTATCTGTTAAACTTCAATCGTTTTGGTTATTTGTGCTTATTTTCTATTAGCTGGTGATCATTATGTCTATCTTGTTTTCCAAGCTATATTTGCAATAATAATTACTAGTAAAAAGTTTATATTTGATGGGCGAAAAGCATACTCAGATTTTCCCCTTTGCATTCCCAAAACTCCATTGCAAAAATTGTTCACTGCAAAGCAAGTTAACTCATTGTCAATCAAATTATGTACTGAATACTGATTACATAATATAGAGTATGCAAATTAATGATATAGTTAAAGCATGCAATTGAAACCATCAGGCTTGTGTCTACAGAGAAAGATATAAAAGACCTCCGATTTATGTCCTAATTTTCTGATTCTAGCAGCAACGATATAATAGAACACTGACAATTTTGTTGGAAAGAGCCAGCAAGATGTACTTAGTAAAACAATTATTATTTCTGTTTTTAGATGAGTTCTTCTAAACTGGTGGCAAAACCTAGCGTCTACTTAACATAAACCAGGCGAGTCATGAAATCATTGACATTGACTATAACGAGAAACAGTAGCTCATGCATCACAAGGAATTGAAAGAACTAAAGTATGTGTGGTGTTCACATTTTTGTTATTCTCTTTCAGAATGCAACTCAATGTGCTGCACCAGCAATTTCACAAGTAAAAAATTGCACCCTAAATACTATTAATATAGCTATTTGGGATCCTAATTTTGAATCATAGGTAAAGCATAAATAACAAATTAAAAGAATAAAGTGCCATTACATTTCAACACGGTTCTTATACAATTCTCTTAAAAAAATTTGGTTCTTGAACATGGATCAATCCTTTAAAATGCAGATGCCATGCATGAACAATGAGGTGTACAATAGTGTCTTCAAGGCGCGAGGATATTAAGTAAGGACACTCTATTGCGGATTAGCCATCTAAACAGGCAATCTAAACCTGCCTCGAGACCTTTGACGCTAGCAGACTGTGTCTCTAATCTCCTTAGTTCAGTCTGTGCATCAATCTTAGCGTCATTTCTCGGGACTTGTCCATGGAGTGTATACAAGCTAAAGTCCACAATCCCCACCTCATTGAAAGGCTTCTCCCTTCCCTTGGCTGCAGCTACTGGTATCAATTTGGAATCAAAGACCAACCTCCATCCATTGTTTTCATTACTGGCATTGAAAGAAATAGCATAAGTGAGTGAAACATGGAAATTGTGATGGCTTTGGGTTCTCTCAGTTCTTTTACCACCATCAATAGATGGCAATCTACATCAAAAAGAGGAAAGGGGCCATTATTGCTTGCATTCCAATCTCTTCAGTACTCTTGAGGCTTTTAGTAAATTTTTTTTCAACTTCTTTCTAAAGCTGATGTAAGCAAGAATATTGCATCCAATGCTTGAATCTGCGCCCCTCCTACGTAATGCTGACTGAAGGTCTTGTACTTGCTTCTTCATCATCATAATTAGGTCTCCTGCCGTACCACATGCATCCAGCAATCCAACCGAGTTATCAAGTGCCTTCTCTACTAGCTTTACATTATTTTGCTGATGGCGAAGGAATTCTTGAGTGAGCGGAGACTGAAGGATTTCCTCAATGTTGTTATACAACTTTGCAAGCCTAGTGAAACCTGTACAAATTGTCTCACCACCAGCCTGAATTGTTCGTGAAGCTGTACAAATTACGCTGCAACCTGGATGGCAAGCTAATGGATCTCAATGGAACGTTCACCCCATGAATTACAGATGAGCCTGCCATATTTACGCAGAAAAAGCGCTCAAAAGACTAAATTCGAAAGTCGATATATGCTTAGACATTCATAATTCTTCTATCTATTTATAATAAGAAAGAAAATTCAGGCCAAAGCCCAATCATTGGCCATACGATGGTGATGGAATTGAAAGATCCTCGTAACATATTTAGCCAGCTACCTGCAATCGTTTATCATTCTTTAATGTTAGGTTCAAGAGATGAACAATATGAATAGGTAAGATTAATTTTGTTTATGATCCTCAAATTGTAAACTACTGGTACATGCCGAGCGTCTGCTGCCCCGTCTTCCCAATCATTATTGCGATACCTTCTTCCCTACCAGTGTTTATTAAAGTCATTAATTAAAATTAGTTTATAAGACATTCAAGGCTGGCTATTCATGATTGCCTAATAGTTTAGAACCACAGATATAAGGTCAATAGACCAACGGTAGCGGAAAAATATTAGAATAAGAAGAAGTACGAAGTGGGACCTGATTTTGCACAAAGCTGTTAGTAAAATAGGTCCAGCCTTATATAATTGGGTTCGTTCTAATAAAAAATCATAGGCATTGATTTTTTTTTATACAAAATCTTAGCTATTTAATAAAAAAAAAATTGAGACTACTTTAAGGTGGCAAAAAAAAGAGAGGACAATGGCGAAAACCAAGAAAAAAAAAGGAAAAAAAGAAGTCAAGAAAATAGAGAGAAAAAGAAAAAAGAAGAGTTGGTTAAATGAAAATTGATTTGTGATTCAATTGAGTTGAAATTTTGTCAACAAATTTATGATTCAGAGTTTTACATTCTGAATAGTAAAGATCAGGTTTAAAGCTCTCTAGAAATAAATCCGAAATGTATTGTTGAGTCACTTATTTGGTGAGATTTCTTCAATTGTCTTTTTTAGTTGTTGATTAATTTTAGTTTTAGCTAGAGAAGAACTTTATATATCCATTATTTGATAGTAGAGATTTTTTTTGATGGTCCATGATTTTTCTCTCTACATTGGAGGATTTTTCACCTAAATCTTGGTGTGCTTTATTTGTCCTGCATTATTGATTGTTGATTGTTGATTGTTGTCTATTACTATAAGTTTATTGTGATATATTGCTTCTGCGTTGTTGTGTTTATTACTTCAGGCCCAACAAATAGTATCAGAGCGATGGTTATTTTGAGACATAGATACAAAAGCAACCCAAGACAAAAATAAATTTTATTTGAAATTATAGAGGGTGATACAGGTTTCATGATAAAATTAACATCATCAAATTATTTAATTTGAAAGCTTATGTTGGAAAATCCTTTTATATTGCAAAGATTTGTATGAGCCGGTATAGAGTGATTTGGTTAAACCAATAGATATGAAAAATGAAAGCTAAAAAAAGTTAGGCATAAAGGCGCTGGGTATAATTAAAAAATGAGTTGATATCAGCGTGTTTCATTATGTAGAATAAAAGATAGATGCCCACACTATTTGAAAAAAATTAATAGCATTATGTGAGAGAAAAATAGGTATGAATAAAGTTATGCTTGTTAAAAAGCTAGCAACTTTACAATATAGGGATGGATGATTGATTACAGAGCACTTGAGTGATCTTTAAAATATATTTAATCAAATAACTACTATAGAGCTTCGGATGAATGATGAAATGAAGGCATTGTTTCTTTTGGGTTCATTACCAAATAGTTGAAATACTCTAGTTGTGACTGTTTTTAATTCAGCTTCTGATTACAAAGTGACATTGAAGATGGTAAATGACAGTATGTTTAATGAAAAAACAAGATGAAAAGGTTTAGACCCTGGGAATCAAGCTTTGGTCACAGAGAACAAGAGTAAAAACATTGATAGAGGTCAAAACTCAAAAGGTCGTAATAAATCTAAACATATATCGAAGTCTAAAGATAAAATAAAGTGTTTTCATTATTGTAAAGCAAGTCAAATAAAATAATATTGTAAAATCTTGAAGCAAAAGTAAAAAAATAAGAAAGATAAAAGTTCAAATGATAACAATGTTGTAGCAGTAAATTCAGATAGTGATTTAATTATTTTGATTTGTACACATGGTGATTGTAATCATGTTAGTGATCTGAACATTGAGTGGATAATTGACATAACGGTTGCATATCATTGTGTTCTTAAGAGAAAATTATTTACAACTTACAAAGCAAGAAACTTTGGTTACACCAATATGAAAAATAAGAGTGTGTCATAGATTGTTAGGAATAGTGATATTATTGTACAAACTAGTATGAGTTGCATGTTGACTTTGAGAGATGTTAGATATATTTTGAATATGATAATGAACTTACTTGCTATTAATGTCCTTGATAAAGAAGGATATGAGAATCGACAAAAGAATGAACAATGAAAGTTTCTTAAAAGATCTATGGTAGTTACAATGAGAAAATTATGTTATACAATGTACATGATATGGATGTAATTAACTGGCGATAAGATAAATGCTGTTGAGGATGATGCTTTAGCAAACTTGTGGCAAAAGAGGCTGGCACACATAAGCGAGAAAGGGTTATAACTTCGACAAGGTAGTCTTTCATTCTTTTGACCAAAGATATGTTTCTCGATTTATATGATGATTGTTTATTTGGTAAGCATCGTAGAGTTTCTTTTTATAAAAATTCTCAAAAAAAAGAAAATAGATTGAAATTAATTTATTCTAATGTATGTGGTCCTATTGAGGGTGATTCATTAGGTCGTAGCATGTATTTTATTACTTTTATTGATGATACTTCACATAAAACTTAAGTGTATATATTGAAAAATAAAAGTCAGGTATTGTAATATTTTTAAAAATTTCATGTCATTGTGGAAAGGATGATAGAGCTGCCTTTGAAATGTATTCAAACTGATAATAGTAAGGAATACACATCTAAATATTTTGAATAGTATTATTCAAAGCATAGAATCAGACATGAGATTATAGAACCTCAAAACATCGCTGCATAACAGTGTAGCTGAAAAGATAAACTGCACAATTATGGAAAAAGTCATATGCATGTTAAAGATAACAAAGTTACCAAAGCCATTTTAGGGTGAAATACTCAACACAGTTGTTATTTGCTTAACAGATAACCATCAATTCCTTTAGACGTTGACATTTCAAAAAAAGTATGGATAGGAAAAGATGTTTT